AGTTCCCCTTCTATTCCCTCATCCAAGTCGTTAATGAAGATATGAAGAGTACTGGGCTTAAGACGTAACCTTGTGGCACCCCACTGCTTACTTCCCTCCATGTAGACTTAGACCCATTAAGGACTACTCGCTGAGTACAGTTTGCCAGCCAGTTGTGAGTCCATCTAGTTCTGGTCATCCTCCTGCTTGAAATTTTGACTGCTGGGCCAGGACATCTCCTGGCTTCCATCTTCCCTGCTTCCATTCTAGAGCAAATTGTCTTTGCAGAATCAAGCCCCGGAAGATTGTGTGATGTGTGTGTTTAGAAGCAACGCACAGCCTCTGCCTGTAACGAGAATTTCAGGCAATGATGTTTGCCTGAAAGGGATCAATGAGACTTTCTCAGAATGGCAGGAGCTGCAGTTCCTTCAGGAAGCCTGAGCAATGGAAACCTTAGTGTTACGAACTAAATAAACTCATTCGTCAATAACTATACTAGCTTACTTCAGCAGCAGGCTTGTAATCCTGCACTGCTGATTGGCCCGCAGATAAGCGAATCGTGATTGGCCGATTCTGGCTGACCTGATTGGCTGACAACGGGCCGTCGCTGATTGGACGCTTTTAGAGCGGTTACTTCAATTTCATTGGTTGTTGTGACAGCAGCCAGCTCTATAAAAGAGCTGCTGCTGCCCTAGTTGTTGCTCTGTTCTGAAGTCACTATTAAAGAGTTGAGTTGAGTCACTATAGATGCCTCGTCTCCGTTATTGCGCCCACTCCTCCAGATCTAACACTTAGGCCAGGCTCCTTGCAGCTGAAGCAATCCCGCTCACCCAGAGTCAGGCTGGTCGTTGTGGAAGGCTTGTCCTGCTGGAGGACAGGGAGGACAGGGATGGACCACGCCTCCTACGATGGCCAACCTGACCTTGGGTAAGCTGGATTGCTTCAGCTGCAAAGAGCCTGGCCTAAGGTTTTCATCACCCAGGCTTCCCGAAAGTGATCGGAACTGCAACCACCGCATCTGAAGAGTTTAGCTGAGCCATGAAGTTGAACACACCCATAAAGCAGTGGTGCGCCCTGAGCAAGGAAGCATTATGAGCTTTGAGGGCGCAAGTGTCTATTTCATCAGCTCATGTGCAGAATTCATACCGCGCCTTCCCATTGGCGTTCAAGGAGGCTAATTGTGGTAAATACAAATCATTTGTTTGAAAAATAAAGGATGGATTACAATATTGATGATGAATGTAAATGAAAAGGCAGTTTCCAAAGCCTTACTTCCCTATCAAGTGCAACCTGAGTCGCCTCCCTGAATAGGATGTCTTGGGATACCCAGCTTTCTTTCCTGCTCTTCCGCAGAAGAAAACAAGGCCGGCAAAGCCACAGGGCAGGGCAGACCACCTCAGGAGGCTGCTTTGGGGTGAGGATGAGAGAGAGAAGCTGATGGTTGAGGCTCTGGCCAGCCCCCACCCCCATCCGTCTACCAGATTCCCTGATCCAGGGCAGGGATGGAAAAGAGGCAGCCTCTGCTTGTCTCCACCCTGGTTCTCTTGACATTCAGGCCACCCCGCAGCCCTAACATTTGGGCCCTAACCAGTGGTGGGATTCAACATTTTTTACTACCAGTTTTGTGGGTGTGGCTTGATGGGTGTAGCAGGGAAAGGATACTGTAAAATCTCCATTCTCTCCCCACTCCTGGGGGAAAGTTACTGCAAAGTTCCATTCCCTCCCCACCCCATTAACCTGCTTTCCAGCTCCATTCTCCTGTGCAGGGCAACAAAAGAAGACCCAGCCAATCAGCTGGGACTCGGGAGGGAGAGAATAGATGAGGGTGGGGCCAGTCAGAGGTGGTATTTGCCGGTTCTTTGAACTACACAAAATTTCTGCTACCGGTTCTTCAGAACTGGTCAGAACCTGCTGAATACCACTCTGACCCTAACCTTAATCCTTTTGGTATATCATTTTTTAATAAATAAAATGGTCATTAGGGCATAGAACCAGTTGTTAAATTATTTGAATCTCACCACTGGATCATGTCCTGTGGAAAAAACTAAAAACAAGTTATACCGTGAAGCTTCAAATAGTGAATGAAAGTATTCATACCAGTCAAGTGTTCTGATTTGAAAATGTGCATAAAGTATGTTGATCCTGGACACTATGGTAACCCACTAATTCTACATAGTGACATACAAGCCAACAGATACATTCCTTAGGATGACTCAATGTCCCACTGAAATAAATGCACATTCTTGGGGAACTAATCCAACAAATATATGTTATTTTCAATACAAATTAAACATTCAATACAAATATTCATGTCAATATTGGTCACTTTTGAAGATTACCAATTATAGACTTACTTACCGAAAATATATTCATAGACCAAATCTCCCAATATATTTCAGTACAACTATTAGATATACTTAGAAAGGCAAGTAATAGAGAAGAGACATCTTTAATAGTAAAGCACTTCACTTGTCTTTGTAATGTGTTTTGATATAGCAAGAAATAGAAGCAGAGAGTGGTTTTACAGATAGATGAGGTGAGGCTATTTTAGTAGAAATGGAATTGGTTTCCCCTGAATTTTAAAGGACAAACTAAATGAGTCACAGTTGGCAAAACTACTTGGGTGGAATACTTTGAAATCTGATTAATAAATATTACTTCCTGTTCAGCTTCATCAAGCTTTCACAAATAATGTGATGTTTGTTATTAAGCCATTCAGAAGCTACACTTAATGAAACTGAAGTGCTTTACTATTAAAGATGTCTCTTCTTTTTGATGGGGATGAGATTATTATTTGTGCTAATAAACACCACAGTAGGAACTTGTAGTTCCTTTGGATCTTAGATTAACAGCTAATTTTAATTTTTGTTCTGACATGTTTAATTAAATCCAAACTGCTAAATAAGTTTTATTGGAGATCCTGAAAATATAATTTTCTGGAAATATTAATTCAGAATTTACAGTATAACACAATGATTTATAATTAAAATTTATTTTAAAATCAAGCATATATTTTGTTTTTTCATTTTTGTATGTGTATCTGTTTTAAAGACATGCTGGTTTTCTTTTTTAAAATTGTTTTCAACTATTATATAGCATATGCAAAAGTCCCAGAAGATTAGAATTAAATAAGGCAGAGAGAACATTCTCTGGTAGTTTTACTTTAGGAATTTTCAAATGTTGAGTAAGTTCAGTACTGATGTTTCTTTTATATCTGAGTCATTACTATAATTTTTCCAAATCATAATTGTTATAAATGATATCAAGAATAGTAGTATCAACTATGATTAGAATGCAACCATATAAACATATCTTTCAACTTTGGAAGAAGTAGGAGTACTGTATGTATTTGGTTTTTTATAAATATATACTTGCCTCCAACAGAACCTGGAGATTGTCATAAAAACAATGAAAGTAAAATAAAGTGCTTTCTTTTAATTGCATCAGGTCGGCACATGTTCTGTGAACAACCCTGGAATATTCCTATTACAGTTTCCACGATTTTGTATTTATCATAGACCAGCATTAAAGATGAAACCATTTTGGTATATGGTTAAAGGCACCAGATTAGAAACAATGCTGCCAGTTGGGTTTCTATGGGTAAGTCACTCACTTTCTCCCCTAGTAAGTAGGCAATGGCAAACCAATTCTAAAAGTCTTGCCAATAAATCTACCTTCTCAGAATTATTCCCACATATACTTTTGAGAGCTTGGGGGAAATTGGTCAAACACTAGATAAACCAGTATTTGCATCTAAGCATTGGAAACTGCAATCAGAATTAGCTGAGTTGAAACTATTGGGTCTATTATATTTCCCAAGCAATGACTTCAATATTATATACGTATATTTATTCCTTTTGGAAATATTAATTGGTCCATTGCATTCACTTTTTCCACTATATGTTTGAGATGGTCTATTATATAGGAATATTGAGATTTTTTTAAATTCTAAACCCAGTGTCTCTTTTCTTCGTATAAGTACAGAAAGTTCTCAACTTGTGTCCACAATGTAGTCCAAAACTTTTGTTGCTAAGTGAGAAATTTAAGTGAGTTTTGCCCCATTTTACGACTTCTTTTCCCACATTTGTTAAGTGAATCACCACAGTTGTTAAATTAGTAACACGGTTGTTAAATGAATCTGGTTTCACCATTGACTTAGCTTGACAGAAGGTCACAAAATGGGATCATGTGACCTTGGGGCACTGCAATGGTGATAAATGAGTCAGTTGTTAAGCCTCCGAATGTAAATCATGTGACTATGGGGGATGCTACAACGGACTTAAGTGTGAGAAATGGTCATAAGTTCCTTTTTTCAGTGATGTTGTAACTTTGAAAACGGTCACTAAACAGTCACTGTTGTAAATAGAAGACTACCTGCACTCCATGAAAAAATGTTATGAAATGTGACAATATGACAACTGATTTGCTGAGGGCTATTTCGCTTATGCCAGAAATGTATGAATCTAATTCTTCATGCAGCATTTAATGCATTTGTTGTTTTTAAAACTGTTCCGAACTAGCAGACTCGTAAGCCTGAAACTCTAATTGTTTTCCTTCCATGGCAGGCTCGTTATCCTGCACTTTTGATTGGTCCGTGAATAGCCGATCGTGATTGGTCGTTTTAGACTAATCCGATTGGCTAGTTAACGGGTCGCCGCGATTGGATGCCCCAAGCGCGGCAAACTCAAATCATTGGATGTTTTGACAGCAGCCAGCTCTATAAAAGGAGCTGCTGCTGTCTGAGTATTTTGCTCTGTTCTGAAGTCACTAATAAAGAGTTGGAGTCACTATTCGATGCCTCGTCTCCGTTCTAGCACCCACTCTTCCAGATCTAACACTGGCGACGAGGATGGGATGCGGAGACGATAGAGCTGACTGAGCACTCGCGGAACACTAACACAGCACGTGGCTGAGGGCGCACCGATAGCGGCAAGATGACCAGCGGTGCCATACCACCCGCTCCATTTGATCCAGCCAACGAAGACTGGGACTCATACATGGACAGGTTTCAAATGTTCCTGGAAACCAATAACCTGAAGGATGCTACGCCTGGCAAGAAACGAGCTATGTTCCTAACGCATTGCGGACTCGCCATTTTCAAGATGGCAAAAGCACTCGCCAAACTGGCAGAAGTCAAAACAATGGACTGGGATACCCTTGCTCCCATCCTCAGGGCCCATTATGCCCCAGCGGTGCCAACCCTCATCAGGAGACACGAGTTTTACCAGAGGGACCAACAGGAAAGCGAAAGCGTTGGGGACTTCGTAGCAAACCTCAGGAATTTGTGTGGACTCTGTGGTTTCGCAAATCTGGAAGAAGCCATGAGAGATCGGGTCGTTTTGGGTTTAAGAGACCTCACCACCCAAAGCAAGATCATGGCAAAGGGGGACATCGCCCTCGCAGATGTCATAGCCGATGCTACTGCAGCAGAAGCAACCAGGAAGTCAGCAGCCCGAATGCGCCGAGCGAATGGAACCAACCGCCAACTCGCCAGCGACGCTGCTCTTCCCTCAGAGAGACACACAACGACCACCCACCATGAAGACCTCGAATCCTCATCAGAAAGTGAAGAAGAGGAAGTCAATAGACTCAGGTCGGAGCGTGATCAGCGAGGCCAGCGGGGTCGTAAGCCCCCGTATCAATGTGCCGGATGCGGGGGAAACCACCCGCGGTCAGACTGCAAGTTCCTAGACGCCCTCTGTCGTTCCTGTGGGAAGAGGGGCCACATTGCAAAAGTCTGCAGGAGCAAGCGAGAATCCAGCCCAAACAGAAGAGAGAATAGTTTCCAGCAGACAACAGGCACCCCACCGTTAAACCGGGACCGCCCAAGCAACCAATGGAACCCCCACAACAGAAATCGAGCACTAGCCACCTCTACCAGACGAGAAGAGGCGCACCAGACCATCACCATTGGCCACACCTCATCCCTTGATGCAAGGAAAATTCGGGTAAGGGTCACCATTGAAAATCGACCATGCGTTATGGAAGTCGACTCTGGGTCTTCCCTATCAATGGTCTCCTGGAAAACCCTCAAGCAGCTGATCCCTGACATTCGCCGCCAGGATCTCAGCACTCAGAAACTTATATTAAAGGACTACCAGGGAAATCGGATTCCAGTCGCTGGTTCCAGTCACGTCCAAGTCTCATTTAAAGACCACACCGCAACCCTACGTCTCACCGTCGTTGACAAAGACCGACCCAGTTTATTGGGTTTGCAGTGGTTCGCGCCGCTAGGAATCGAGCTGGCAGGCATCAACCAGACCGTAAGTGATGACTGGGAGGCGGCCCTCGTCCGGGACTTCCAAGAAGTTTTCACCGAGCAATTAGGCAAGTACAAGGGGTCCCCTATATCGTTTAAACTCTGCCCTGATGTTGCGCCCATTCGCCTTAAGCCTCGTCGAGTGCCCTTTGCGCACAAACCAAAGATTGACGAACAATTGGACAAGTTAATAGCCCAGGGCGTATTAGAACCCATCGACCACGCCCAATGGGAGACCCCAATTGTAACCCCCATAAAACCAGACGGATCTTTGAGAATCTGTGGGGATTACAAGGCCACCCTGAACCACGCACTACAGCAGAGCGCCTACCCCGTGCCCGTGGTCCAACACCTTCTTCACTCACTCGAGGGCGGAAAGGTATTCGCAAAGCTTGATTTAGCCCAAGCGTACCAGCAGCTACCCGTAGATGCAGAGACCGCAGAAGCCCAAACCATAGTCACACACAGAGGTGCGTTCAAATGTAACAGACTCCAGTTCGGAGTGAGCGTAGCACCTGGCATCTTTCAAAGTTTGATGGAAAGGTTGCTGCAGGGTATAAAAGGGGTTGTACCCTACTTCGATGATGTCTTGATAGCCGCCCCCACAAGAAGTCAACTAGAAAAACACCTAAGAATGGTCCTTCAAAAATTCAAAGACGCAGGCCTAAAGGTCAAGAAGGAAAAGTGCCAACTATGCACTGAGAGGGTTGAATTTCTTGGTTACCTTCTTGACAAACAAGGAATTCACCCTACTGAGAAAAAATTGGCTGCAATAAAAAACGCCCCAAGACCTAGGAACAAGACAGATCTCCAAGCCTTCCTGGGACTCTTGAACTTTTATAACATCTTCCTACCCCAGAAGGCGACTGTTGCTGAACCCCTGCATAGGCTCCTCGACGAGAAGGCTTCCTGGTTCTGGGGACGTCGAGAAGAGCAGGCTTTCCAGCAAGTAAAAGACCTCTTAACATCAGATGCTGTATTGATACAATATAACGAGACACTACCATTAACTGTAACCTGCGACGCCTCACCGTTTGGAGTAGGAGCCATCCTGAGCCACGTCCTACCAAATGGTACGGAGGCGCCTATTGCATTTTTTTCAAGAACTTTATCTAAAACTGAGAGAAACTATAGCCAATTAGATAAAGAGGCCCTCGCTATTGTATCTGCAATCAAACGATTTCACGAGTACGTATATGGAAGATCTTTTTCTATAATCACCGATCACAAACCATTGCTTGGCATTTTGGCAGGGGATAAACCAACTCCCCACATCCTATCGCCAAGAATGACACGCTGGTCGGAATTTCTAGCCGCATACGATTACCAACTAAGACATCGACCGGGGAAAGCCATTCCCCATGCTGACGCCTTAAGCCGCTCACTATTACCTGAATTCCTAGACGATCCAGCTCCAACCCTATCCACACTACAAATTGAGACACTTCCTTCACCACCACTAACTGTGCAAGACATCGCATCGGAAACAAGGAAGGACCCTTGTTTGGCGCGGGTCCTCAGCTGGGTGGAAAGAAATTGGCCTGAAATCGAACCCAACGACACATTTAAACCCTTCAAAAACAGACAGACAGAACTTTTCTCCCAAAAAGGGTGCGTGTTGTGGGGAGACAGAGTTATCATCCCAGAAAGGCTACGAAATAAAGTCTTGAAACTACTGCATGATGGACACCCGGGCATCGTACAAATGAAGGCACTAGCAAGGAGCTACGCCCGGTGGCCAGGTATGGACGGTCAAATTGAAACCTGGGTGGCCACCTGTAACAAATGCCAGGAAACACGTTCGGCTCCACCAAAAGCACCACCAACGGAATGGGAAATGCCCAGGGGCCCATGGTCCCGCATCCACATCGATTTTGCAGGACCTACCAAAGGACATACCTTTCTAATAACAGTAGATGCCTATTCAAACTGGCTCGAGGTCAACAAAATGAAGAACACCACCACAGAAGCAGCTGTAAAAAAATTGAACAGACTGTTTGCAACACACGGCTTACCAGATGTCTTGGTTTCAGACAACGGCCCACAATTTACCGCTTTGGTGTTCGAACAGTACCTAGCAGACCGAGGGATACGCCATGCCTTAACATCGCCTACTCACCCTGCAGCCAATGGTAGGGCTGAACGAATGGTCCAGCTCACAACGAAAACCTTACACAAAATGGAGCAAGGAAACATCCACGACAAAGTCACCAGGATGCTTCTCCTCCAACATATTACTCCAAACAGCACCACAAACAAAAGCCCAGCCGAACTCCTGATGGGCAGGAGACTTAGATCACATCTCGACCGTCTGCACCCTGCCTACACGCCAGAAAAGCCCCTGGGTTCCAGCAGCAAATGTCGCACATTTAAGGTAGGCAACCCGGTATTCGCAAAAAACTTTACCGGTGACCCATTGTGGGTCCCTGCTAAAATAACACAACTTACGGGCCCCCGTTCCTACCGATTAGAAACCACAGATGGGAGGTTGTGGAAATGCCACATCGACCAACTACGCTCAAGGATGACACCTACCCCCTTCACACACCCTGAACTCCAAACCAGGGGGGGAAGGGAAATCGAGGGGGTTGAAAATGAACTAACATCTGGTTCAGTACACGAAACCCCGCAGTCAGTATAACAAAACCCAGAATATTCACCAATTGAAGAGGAGCCGTGGCAGATGGTCATCTCTCCGAGAAACAGCAAGGCAGGATCAGCCAGCCCAGAGGATCCAGATGACAGCCTTGAAGGGAGTATTGGTGGCACCCCCGAGTCACCCAGCGTAGAAGTCAGGTCGCCTTTGTAGCTGGACACAGCAAACAGCCCACCGGAACCAGAGTCCGGACAAAGACTGGTGGAGCAACGCAAGTCAGGTAGACAGGTGCGACGGCCTGCCTACCTGCGAGAATACATCACCCCACCCTTGAGACGGAACCTAGAGGGGAGGGGTGTTCCGAACTAGCAGACTCGTAAGCCTGAAACTCTAATTGTTTTCCTTCCACGGCAGGCTCGTAATCCTGCACTTTTGATTGGTCCGTGAATAGCCGGTCGTGATTGGTTGTTTTAGACTAATCCGATTGGCTAGTTAACGGGTTGCCGCGATTGGACGCCCCAAGCGCGGCAAACTCAAATCATTGGATGTTTTGACAGCAGCCAGCTCTATAAAAGGAGCTGCTGCTGTCTGAGTATTTTGCTCTGTTCTGAAGTCACTAATAAAGAGTTGGAGTCACTATTCGATGCCTCGTCTCCGTTCTTGCACCCACTCTTCCAGATCTAACAAAAACTGTGAAGCTTTTTTTCACTGAAATTTATCCCAAAGTGCAAAGAAACAAGCAATACAATTACATAAAATTAAACTGTATTAAAGTGCACATGCACACATGCAGACCAACAGACGCACCAAGCATCAAAACTAAAATAAAAAGCCTTGGGGAATAAGAAAAAAGGGAGCCTGTAGTGAGGCTGGCACAGTGTAATGGCTGTTCATGTTGGATAGCTTTACCATAAGATTAGACAAACATCACAACAGGTAAGGCCATTGATTAGCTAGACATCCTGATGACTAGCACTTGCCTCCAAGATATTCAGATTGCCAGTTGTTTGAAAGTGAGGGAGAAGTGTGTTCCTACTCTCCTGTTTTTTTGTGTTGGTTACAGTTGAAAGCAAGTAGATATGACTGATCTTCTTGGCTTGTTCCTCCAGGGAGCTTACTTTTTAAAATCAATTTTCAAGGGTTATGCACAAACTTGACTACAGTAAAACAGAACAAAAGTGTGTTTGCTAGTTTTGACAATGGCTTTTTCTAAACCATTGGCATAGAAATGGTTGAATATGAAGTCAAGAAGGCATAATAATGTTTTCTTTCTGAATAAAACAGTTCTACCATCTATCTGCTAATTAAGCCAGGTCTTATATAATTCTCAACTGTGTTAGATATCAGAGAATTACTGTCAGCTGATAAAAATACATGATACTCAACCTCAATGCTTTGCTGGTATGCATGACAGAATGCACTGGTGTACTTAGCATACAAGGCTAATAGATAAAAGAACAGTAGACTTATGCCAGGAAATAAATTTTGCATTTTACAGGAATGAGGTAATGTATAATCAGCTTGGCATACTTCATTGACACTTACTGTTAGTCTGGCTTCAGTCGAAAGGATTTAGATTCTTGATGCATAACAAGGATGAAAATCCTTAATGTTGAATTACTTTTTCAACAGTCCTTTGTATTGTGTTCTCATGTTGTGCTATAAATTCTTATAAAAACAATATAAGGCAAGAAATATTACTGTTTTGTGGGAGTGTGGAATCTAGGCTCAGAAAGAGGGACTCACTTGGTTCTGGTAACAGCATGGTAGCTATTCCTAAGCACAGCATTGTTACACGTTAACAACATATTATATAAGTGGAACCAAGGCCTTAATTCTTATTATAAGATGACCCTGAGTTTGTATCTGGAAGAGATAAGGTGGCATGGTTGTCAGAATATTTTCTCAATTTCTCAAGGTGTGAGCTCTGTAAGCAATTACAGTTAGTCCTCAACTTATAACTGTGATGACCCAGGGAATGGCACAAGGCAACACAGTCAAATAATCAGTAGGAGTCCCTTTATTAGCTCCAACTTTGCCCCCAATGTCCTGGTCACCTTCTGGCTGGAGAAAAACTCTCCCAGGAACAACCTTTGGCTGCAGAGAATCAAGACCAAAACATGATCAACAAAAACTGTAACTAAAAGTCCAATCAAGGCAAAATGAGGTAATTAGTTCAACAGGGCAGGAGCAAGAATTCCAGACGTGAAGGCACGGCAATAACTCAACATGGTTGGGAAGATGCCAGGGTGATACAAAGTCAATACAAGATAAACTCATGTTTGCTCCCAGCAACTGCCGCGGTCAACATGTATTTCTTTTAAACTCATTCCCAGGTGTGGCTAATGAAGGGATTCAGGGCCCTTTCCATAAGCCATGCAACCCACATTGCTCTCTTCTCCATTCCTCCCTGCGTGCCCTAGGATGAAGATGGATGGGCCTGGGTCTTCCTCTGAACTCCCTTTCCCTTGTTCTACCTCTCTCCTGCTCTGCCCAGCTGGACTTGCCCTTCCCCAGTTTCCTCCACAACTAACGGAGCCACACTCCCACTCCCTGTCAGCTGTTCATCTTCCTCCTTGGATTCAGACTCTAGTGGATGGTCAATAAATTCAAATAAATAAAATCTTTTTGAAGTAGACTTCTGCTGAGAAGAGTCAGCAATCTCAAAATTACAGCTGTGGCTGCACAACTGAAGCCTCATCCTTTAAAAAGTGAATATTAATGTTCATTGTATATATGAACTGTTCTATAGCAGCTGCCAGCAAGTACTTCACATCCAAAAGCTAAGCAGGCTTGGATGTGGTCAAATCTTGGATAAGAGATTACTGAGAAATCTCTGGAGTTTAAGCTAGACTGGGAAATACTGACAAACTGTTTCTATATTACTGCCAAAAAAAAAAACCCATATACTGCATAAAAAGCATATGCAATATAGCACATTATATATTTTCAGCTGTATTTTTAAAAAACCAATGACCACAACAGCCTGCAATCATGTAATTGAATTTATTATTACTAATGACTCACCACCCAGGAGACATTACATCTGGAACAGGGTGTTATAGTCAGTTTCTCCTATTTAGAAATAAAGCATGTTTGATAAATATTTTTCAAAGATACTGTTTTGTTTACTAAAGTGGATAATTTTCTGACTACAGAAAATATTTTAATCAGCATATTCATTGATAACCCTTTACTTCTAAACTATAGTTTCATACCAATTTACAGTTTCTGTTCTTTTACTTCCCTCCAAAATTTTCTCTCATGCTCAAGCAAGTTATAGTTTTTAAAAATGGAACATTTCCTATCTTAGCATCCTGTTAGGTGCAAAAAACCAGGTCCACATGGAAGGTTCAATTTAAGTGATTTACTGCTAAAAGCTGATCCAGAAAAATCTTCTCAATTAATGATCAACAGCTGGTTAGAGCTAGATAAATTTCAATAGCAATCAAAGGGGGATTGGACATAGTTCATTTCTAACTCTAAACTGATCCCTTATTTTACCCCTCCCCCTGACTCTGCCAGTTCTTCTCCTATACATCCATATGAAACAATTGAAGCCCAGTTTAGTGTTCCAGGATTGACATGCTTTCAGACAAGGGGAAGACTATATTGAGGAGAAACTCTCAACATCTGTTTTCTAGAATGTTCCAGAAAAAAAATAGGTTCTTTTGTAATTTTTAGCACAAACAAAAGAAAACTAAGCTGAATAGAAGAGCTGAATATTTATGACTGTTCAGAACTCATGCCACTCCCAAAGCTTTGGGGGATTCTCGATTCATTAATAACAGCTGGAAATTGTGACAAATTGTTTCTATGTTCCCTCATCTGCCCCACTTTGTTGGACATGATCGTTACATGATCCCAAAACAAGGAAAGGGTTATTCCTTTGGGATTACTCTCAAAGGTCCAAGGCTGGACTAATGGAAGAACCACAGAACACACACCCAATAACAAAGAGCACAACAACGTAGCAGCAAACCAGTCTTTAAACTTCAGCCCAGAGCCTTGGTACACGGTGAGTAGGAACATACAAGTCCCTTGCAAAGTCAGTGCTGGGAGCTTTCACCTCCCAGCAACCGCAGCTCTCCCCCACCCTTCTGGAGTCATGTTCCAGCTCCTCACACCATCAGCAGTAACAGAAGTCCCATCTTGTCCATTTAAGTGGCCAGCTGGCAAGCGATCAACTGGCCAGCACATCCTGGCCATCTTGGACTTCTTGCAGCAGCAGCTGCAGCCTTCCCTCCTGACCAGAGGCCCGATCCATAGGTGATCAGCTGTTGAGCGGACAGCTGACAAACGGTGGTGGAGCGCAGCACCCGGGAGTCCTGCTACTGCAGCTGGGACCTCACCCGATGCTCCCGTGGCTCCCTCGGCTTTGTGCAGCTGCCTCGCTGGCTTAGTTTGGATCCCCCCCCCAGGTATATTTAGTTAATATCCCTGCTCGACACAGGGGAATGGGCTCAATGGTACAACCTTTTAGAATAGTTTTCTTATAGCCTTCCATGGGCTTAAACAACACATTCTACATCCCACAACCCTGTCAATGGTGGGATGACTCAAGTCCCCCCACCACAACTGTTAAGTATGGTCAGTGGGTCCCATTGAGAGGCGAGGCTCAAGTAG